CCTAATAAAGTGGCCGGTGAGTGTATAAAGTTATTAGTGAAGAAAACCCGTCTGGATAACAGCAGACTGACTGCTGGTAAAATATACGACAGGTCTGGACCACTCGTGAATTTTGTTCGTATCTGAAAAAAATCTTAGAATACGAAAACATTGGTGAATGTCACAAATTCTCCTAAATCACTCGTACGCACAAYTTAAGAACAAATCTGTGCGTACGAAAGGTTTTTGCATGAGGCCCATTGTTACCACAAGGAAAAATTCTACCACTTTCCTGACTTTTTGTGCTAAGTATAGTTTTTGTTATAAGTATAGTTTCTGTTTTGAAGTGATGTAGAGAAATAAATGAGCTTGTGATTAAAGTTTTATTTGATGTTGCAGTAAAATCATTTTATATTTCATATTCTCTGATGGAAGTAGTTCTGAAACAAATGTTCATGTAATTATTATAATTAGCAATGTTTTATTTGGTAACTAAGTGTAACACCTTTTCTCTTAGCAGTTTTCTAACACACATGTGCTTCTGTTAGATTTTATTGATGAAATAAAATCCATGCTGCTCATAGCTGCAGAAAAATACTTTCCAATTAGTGCAGCGTTGATGCTGCTCACCATGACGAAGCAGTTTCAGGTTTGATGACGAGCAGGCTTGCTGCTTCTTAAATGTGATGTTTCTGTTCGTTACAGATGAATTCAAAGTGCTAAAGATGTGTTTTGGATTGGGGGGTGGGGGAGGGGTGTCTGTGAGCAGAAACACTTTCAGTTACAGGGCTGTACATTGAATGCCCACTGCAGTCTATAATTAAAATCACTGTGCCCCCGCGGTGTGTGTGTGTGTGTGTGTGTGTGTGTGTGAGTGTGTGAGGGGAAATAAATTAAAAATGGAACACAACCAGAAAAATCAGAATATGCTTCTTGGTATTCCAGCACAGTGGATGACACACAACCACAAAATGAAGTCATGAAGCAAGAAAAACCTTCAGAGACACAAAGATGGAGAAATCCACACATCAGAGCTTTGAAAAGAAAAGAAATGTCTGTTTGTGTGGCAGCAGGAAAAGTTGTGTTCTCCTGTGTGTTAGATGTATTCAGACAGCCTCTGTGTGTGTGTACTTGTTTCTACTACAGAGTGAGGATCATTTGCACCATAGTTACTGTCAAAGTGAGGTCTATGATGTAAAGTGAGGACCTCTTCAATGTCCTCACTTTGTTTGCAGCTCTGCTGGGCTTTACTAGTTAGGTTTAGAGGTTTGGTGTGAATTAAGTTCWGGTTCAGGTTAGGGTTAACTACAGACCAGTAATGGTTAATTTTAGGGAAAATGTCTGGCTTAGGCATAAATACAGTTAGAAAAAATGAATGGGAGTCAATACAATGTCCTCAGTTTGATGCAAATACAAGGATGTGTGTACATACTTGTGTCTTGATTCCATATTTTTCCCCTGTCCTTGGTCAATAAAAGTAACGTTCACTGACTTCCACAATGTTTTCTCTTCATTTCTTTGAGTTCCTGAAARCCAACAAGTTGCACTTTGGAATGACCTTATTATTGTATCATGTTTTTGATCTGAGTTTGTTTTACAGAATGAAATGTCTGARTGAGTGCTCATCCAAGACTGGTGATCCCATACTTTTTTGCCAGGGGTTGTAGAATCACATCACTCTATAACTCCACCTTGGCCACTTTATCACTGGTGTTTAAATTGCACAACTCCAACTATATTGCCTTCTCTGATGACTGTATTGAACTGGTGTACATGTTTTATATATTCTATTATATATGTTCCTTTTTCCATTGTATTTTCTTTGTTATATTTTATACATATTGCACCTTTACACCAAAGCAAATTCCTGGTCTGTGAATCCTGGTCCTTGACGATGGCAATAAAACTGATTCTGATTCTCATTCTGATAAAATTACCAAGAAATGAATGGAAGTCAATCTACGGTCCCCACAGAGATATAAAAACAAACCTGTGTGTGTGTGCTATCAGATGAATGTGTGTTCAGGCTAATGATGCACATCTAAGCAAAAAAAAAACTGAGCAGAAAACATTTGGGCCATTCTGACTGAAGATTTATGACCCATTCATGTTAAAAATGTACTACTTTCATTTCTCAGAGCTGAAGAAAACTCTGACCAAAACTTTGAGTAAAAATTGGTTTATTTTTATTTTTAAAAAATAACTCATTGTTTTTGCTGTTTTTAATGGTTTCAACAAATCAGAAAACTTTGTTTGTTTTCTGTCTGCTCTGTGAGGACAGTGTGTGTTTGACCCAAACCAAATCCAGGTTTGTCTTTAATCCCTAACCAAGAGTTCTTTAGATTTTCTCTTCACTGCAAACATGTGGACCAACAAACACTATGAAAATCTGTCAGAACTTCCCAACACTTCTTTCCTTTCTTTGCTGCTCGCGCTTGTTATCGTCTGGAGAAAAACAAACTCTTTTTTTTGTAAAAATGAAATAAAAATTGAAGTCTAGGGGGAAACTCATTATCTCAGCTGGCTGCTGTCGGCGTCGTGGCTCGTTAGGTTGTTTCAGGTAAATTTTGGACATTTTAATTGACAGTTGTTCCATTTAATTAGTTTTGTTTGGATGAGAACATTTACACTGATGTGTGTACTTTTGTGCTTCATCTCAGATATATCTGACATGTTTGCATGACATAACTGACATTTTTAGGGGACTTTCTCTAATTTCAGAAATGCTTTTTTATAGAAGGTAAAACTGGTTTTGGGTTGTTTTAACAGTTTGGATTTGGTGACACTAATAAATCAAAGTTTCTGAATCAAGACCTTCAGATGACTTCAAGTCAGTTTGTTAGGAGCCTCTTAATACTTATTCATTAAATGTTTGTTGCAACATTTTTATTTCCCAGTAGGAATATTATTTCAATCTGTTAAATGCAGTCGTTGACTTTGGTCCAAGGATGGACAGCTTGGTGTCGGACCTCACATGGGTCACTGCTGCTCGGTCGGCCTCCCTCCTGTTTAAGTTGTGCCAGTTGGTAAAAGTTCAGCTTCGTAATTCTACAAACTGGTTTAAAAAGCAAAGGATTGTCATTTTGTTTAACTTTCGTCCAACTTGTAATGTAAAAATCTGCAGTGGTAATAGTTCCATCTGTGTGCTTCTAAATGCACCACAGAGTTTTTTCTTCTGTTGTGTGCTTTTACAGAAACCTGCCAGACAAAATGTTAATACTTTTTTTTTTTTTATCTCTTATCAGTCCAAAAGCTACATGTGCAGCAGCCAGGGGAGCATACTGTGCTTCATCATAGATTTCACTTCAGGCTTCACCTGCTCTGAAAACTCCTCAAAGGTAATGAAGTTCACCATTCTTGCTCATTTCTTGACGTTTGTTGCAGTAATGGCTGCGGACGGTTTTCTCTCCTGAATTGATGCACTTTTCGTCTGTTTGCTTTGTGTTGTTGCTGCTTTATTTTCAACCCCTCTCTCTGCTTTGATCCCAAAAAAATATTTGTTTTAAAACCAATTTGAAAATAAAACACTTTAAATAATTCATGTCTGTAACGGTTAATGTAGTATTTAAATGTGCTCATTMTAAAAAGCCCTGAGCTGTTAAATAATCAGTGTTTTTTTTCCTCATAGACGGTTCTGTGGCGGTATAAGTTCTCTCAGCTTAAAGGCTCCTCCGATGATGGGAAAACCAGGGTAAAACTGCTGTTCAAGAATGCAGAAAACAACCAAATAGAAATGAAGGTAACATATTTTTCTTAAACATTTGATTGCATGCAGAGGATGCTGTTTATACAGCAGGTAAAATAAGTATTGAACACGTCACCATTTTTCTCAGTAAATATATTACTAGAGGTGCTAATGACATGAAATTTTCACCAGATGTCTTAAGAAATGTAATTACTGATAGATTAGTACTGATATTAGAAAACTACACCAGAGTATAGAGTTTCATTACTTTATAATACTTGTATAATATTTGATCTATTATGTGTTAGCTGAAATAGAGTAGATACGTGTCCGAATTATAAACAACACATACAGTAAGTGAACCGTTTTAAAACATTAGGGTGAGGTCTTTGTCTGAATGCCTGTGATTCAGCTGTAGGCCAGCAGAGGGCGAACTCAGGCATTGAAGAATGTGTACGGTATAAACGGGGACTTCCTGTTTTTCATTCAGTGTGGTTTTGACTTGTCAGCCGGTGGCAAATATAAACCTCACTCGCTCC